GCGAGCTGATCGGACTCTTTCATCGCGATCTGGTGATAGCCTGAGTAGGCGTCCAGAAAGGAGAGGATCTCGCAACCCAAGGTGGAGTCGATTATCTGGTTTATGCGTGGTAAAGGAAAGTGATCCTTAGGACATGCCTTGTTGAGTCCAGTATAATCGACACACATTCTCCATTTCCTGGTCTTTTTTCTAACAAGGACGGGATTGACGAGCCAGTCGGAGTGGAAAACCTCCCTGATGAATCTGGCCGTCAGGAGCTTGGTGATTTCTTCGCCAATGGCCCTGCGCCTCTCGTCGTCGAAACGACACAGGCGTTGCTTGGCGGGCTTCGAGCCCGGATAAGGCGTAGTGCATGCTCGGCGACCTCCCATGGTATCCTCGGCATGTCAGAAGGTTGCCATGCGAAGACATCACGATTGTCGCGCAGGAAGTCGACGAGCTCGCATTCCTATTTGGCCGGGAGCTAGGTCCTGATTCTTACTGTTTTGACTGGATCAGCGGGGTCGACACCCACCGCCTTGGTTTCCTTGAGCAGGCGGAAGGCCACCGCATTCCTATTGTTGTAGTTTGGGACTGCTGGGGTTGACGACTCCCCGAGCCGCAGGAGCTCGGACGAGTTGACGACCGTGGTGGCGAGCTCGTAGTGCTCATGGTCGCACGTGAAGGCGTGCGAGAAGGCGCTACTTACGGTGATGACGCTGTTTGGCCCCAGCATCTTCAGCTTGAGGTAGGTGTAGTTAGGGATGGCCACGAACCTTGCGTAGCATGGCCGCCCCAAGATGGCGTGGTAGGACCCTGGAAAGTCCACCACCTCGAAGGTGAGGACCTTTGAGCGGAAGTTGGCCCGGCTGCCGAACATGATGGGTAGATCGATCTGTCCAAGCGGCTATGCTTGTGCTCCTGGGATCACCCCGTGCAAGGGGGAGCCCGCTGAGCGGAGCTCCGACCGGGGGATGCTCATGGCTTCTTGCAGACGATGGGGTCGATGACGAGCGGGTAGCGTCCTGGTCTTGCGACGCAAGAGGGATGGTCCCTCTGATCAAAGGTGATCGGGCACTCCGACCAGCTGAGGAAGGAGGGGACGGCGGTCTCGGCGGCACACGCCTCCCTGTAGCGTACCTTATGATGGCGTTTCGTCCAAACGGCGTCGGACCCTCCGAAGATCATGATGCACTCCTCGAGCTCGGGGAAACCGTCGCCGTCCTTGCCTGCCGTGCCTCCTCTCTTAGCTACCGGGTCCTTGCCGTCTCCCTCCTTTGACCCGCCGGCCTGTCGGAGGAAGCGTTTGAGGAGCTCGCACTCCTTGTAGAGGTGTTTGATGGGGTAGGCGTGGTTTGGGCACGGACCATCCACGAGTTTGTTGAAGTGGTCAGGAAGTCCCTGTTGGGGCTGCCTGGGTGTGCGATCAGCCGCGGCGACCAACGTGGTGCTGTTCGACCGGCGCCGATCTTTCTTGTTCTTCTTGCCCCTCTGAGTGGAGGGGCCTTCGTCCGGATCCGTGCGCTTGGGCTTGCTTTTGTCCCGGCCTCCGCTGAAGACCGCTTCGACCGCCTCCTCACCAGAGGCATGGTTGGTGGCAATGTCGAGTAGATCGCGGGTGGTACGGGGTTTTAGGCAGCCAAGCTTATGGATTAGGGACTCGCAGTTTGTCCCGGAGAGGAATACGCTGATGACGTCTATGTCGACGACATCTGGGAGGGAGTTGCATCGTTGAGAAAACCTATGGATATAATCGCGCAGGGATTCGCTGGGCTCCTGCTGACAGCTCTTGAGGTCCCAGGAGTTTCCCGGGCAGACGTACGTCCCCTGGAAATTCCCGACGAAGACCCTCTTGAGGTTTGCCTAGTCACGGATGCTGTCGTGTGGAAGGAATTCGAGCCAAGCCCGAACATGTTCCCCCACGCAAATGGGAAGATATTGGATGATGAAGTTATCGTCATCCACTCCTCTGGCTCGACAAGCGAGCCGGAAGTCTTCGAGCCAAATGCCTGGGTTCGTCTCCCTAGTGTATTTGGTGATGTTGGAGGGAGGCCGGAAACGCTGTGGGAACGGTGCTCTCCGAATGCGCCGGCTGAAGGCCTGTGGCCCCGGGCCCTCAGGGCTGGGGCTCCGGTCGTCTGGCCGGCGACCGCGCCTAGGGCGCGTTTCACCGCTTCCCTCGATGGTTTGGCCAGGATCCGTGTCCCCTGCCGCCGTACGGTGGACATTGTTATCGTGTCGGGCCCGATGCCGGTCGCTGATGACGCTACGGGCATCCTGGTGCGGATCGGGCCACTCGTGTGTCGGTGGTCGGTGTGGAGCAGGCGCCCGGTCGGACCGTGGCGCGGCTGCCGCACCCCGAACTGAGCCTGATGGCTGCTGTGACGAGCGAACGGAGAGATCCGGTTGGCGCGTCCCCGTCCCCCTGGTGGGGAGAGAGGGCACGGGTCGGAGTCGCGACGCGGAGCTTTCCTCCTGCTGGACGGCGGCGGCCTCTACTAGAACCCGGAGGTTCCGGTAGATGGCCCGTTCCTGAGGGTCGACGGGCTCGGGAATGCCACGCAGAAGCATTGCCGCAGCAGCGATGTTCTGGCCGGCTCGGGCGAATTGTGGGACGTCGTTCCCCTTGTTCAAAATGTCACGCTGGACCTGACGAGCGCGACCCTAGGCACCGCCCGCTGGGCCATGCGCATGGGGCGCAACGTGCCGCGCCGATCGTGCCAGTGCAGGTGGCGGGTTCTGCCATAGTTCCTCGGCGTGTGCTTGCGCAGACGCGAGGGCCTCCGCACGCGTGTCCGGAGGGGTGTGAGTTTGCGTGGACTCGGCAACCACCGGCGGTTGTGCTGGACCATCCACCATAGCGCATTCCCGGGACGGATGGTGGCGGGACGCCACATCACCGATGCTGGAACCATCGCTCTCGCCCTCGTTATCTGGGAGTTCGTGGGAAACGACAGGAGCGAAGCCTGCCATTCCTACGAACTCGGACGTGAGGGGGGATGGTGCTAGCGTTCTTCGGAGCCCCCGAGCATAAGCGTCTGTAGAGGACGTGAGGCCGTAGGGGAACCGAACGTGTGGTGTTCGTGGCGTGGATGGTGCAGTCCCTCCGGATGATCGGTGGGAGGTAGTAAATAAAGGGCGAATAAAGGTACGCGTATTACTTACAATGGGGTTTGAGCAGAGAGTTTGCTTGGAATGAAACGCAGATGCCGCGCCATTGAGGTCGCGCGTCCCAGAGTCGATGGAGAACGTCTCTCCGACGAGTGCCGGGTCATGAGTCTCCTCGCGGAGGTGGAGTACGCCGAGCCAGTCGACGACGAAGTCCAGGCTTCTGAAGAGGAAGGCCTGGGATGGCTCGAAAACGAGTGGAACCCGCATCCCCACAGGCGAGAGTGCGGGATACTCCAGTGAGCCGAGGCGAATCGTATCACCCGAGCCCACCACGGTGGGGGTGGCGGAAAAATGGGCCATCCGATGACCAAAAAGTGCTGAACGTACAGCGTCTTCCCCACGGACGGCGCCAACTGTCGATACAGAAAGTGACCAACTAGTGAATATTTGTAGTTTTGCTGTACGTTGTGATCGGAGGTGGCCTAGCACTCAATGACACAGGATTTGTACTGGTTTAGGCGACATGCCCTACGTCCAGTGTGGGTCGGTCGGTGACTTTATTCCTGAGCCCAGGTGCTCGAAGTCTGTAGTGGGGTTACAAACGAGAAGAAGAAAGGAGGGGTGTACGAGAGGCCCGGTCGGGTCCAACCGGAAGGGCCGAGGGCGACCGGAACTCCGCTATGAGCTAGGTGTTTAAGCGTGTGCTTGAGGGGTTTTTGAGCCATCGATCTGGTGAGCCTGAACTTGAAGAAGTGGACCTCTTTTGTTGGAGGGGGCACATCCCCTTTTTATAGATAAAGGGGATGGCTTTACAGGTGAGAGGGAGAGAGTACGGATGTTTCTAAGCCTTGTTGCCCACGCCAATGAGGGTAGCGATGATGGTAGGCACCCACAATACTGTTGATGCACTGTAGAATGTCAGGTGCACATGGGAGGTTGCGTTGGCTTCTTCAGAAAGGGTGGATGTCGGTACCTGCAAAGTACTATTGGTGTGTGAGGAGCCCTACCCCATGTACCAGGTATGGTGAACCCTGGCGTCCACTATCGATGCCCAAAGGTATGTGGGAGGCTTTTTGCCGTATGGGAGCCCGATGGCGCCTACAATACTGTAGACACAAATATCGGCGCCTACAATACTGTTTGTGTCAGGGCGGTTGAGGAGCACTGTTCCCGCAGGCGTACAGGGTATGGTCCCGGTATCAAGGTTTGAATTTGTGCACTGCCTTCTCCGTTTGCCCCTGGTCCCTTCCGAGCGGATGTCCCCGGTTGGATGGCCCCAGTCGGCCCTGGCCACGGCAGTCGGAGAAGAGTGGTAAGCAGGCTTCCTACGGGGTCCCCGGTTGGAGACGCGGGGTCGGAGTAGGAAGCGGTGCTTTGGACCAGGCCTTTCCGATCGGGGAGACCGCCCGGAGGCGGCTGGTGCCCAAAGCGAATGCTCCAGTCGGAGAGGTGGGCCGGAGAGGTTGACGAGCGAGCGCCTGTTTTTGGATAGACCTTCCGGTCGGCGACCGGACTGTCCCTTCAGCCCGTCGTGTCTTAGGCTCTTGGGCCGGCCCACGATCTACATACTGTTTTCCTGGGCCGAGCCCTGGCGTAGAAGCCGGTCCTCGAGGGGCCCCGGGTTTATGAACCCGACAGTTTATTTGTAATATGTTTATTTATTTATATTATCTTTGATATATAACTGTTTACATATATGTATAACACAAGCATCGTTATCTTCGTAGATAATTGGTGTTGATTTAACGGAACCAATATCAGTAGATTGTTGCACGTGGTTTATCACTCCACATAGCAATACACATTTACGTGATCATTCAGTTTATAATAATATTATGATATCTGAACACATCTAACAAATATTCTGATTAGCAGCATTCTGTGCCATCTTGACGAAGCTGCACCCGAAGATGAAACCATATGAGTATGGATTTCGTGTGTTCTTTCTGACTTTCTGCTATGTCACGGTCTCTGGGTACAACACGGGAAAATTCACCGCTACGGCTATAAGTAGATTTCTGTTGATCGCTCTTGGTGCTGCTGTCAGTCTCGGCATCAACATAGGCATACACCCAATCTGGGCAGCAGAGGATCTGCACACGCTGGTGGCCAAGAATTTTTCTGGTGTTGCAAAATCTTTAGAAGGTACGATCATTAAGAAGTGGATGACTAAAAGGGTTTGTGTTTCTGGCTCCATAATAATTTGTTCTAATAATATTACTAATACATCAAATTCAATTATGTTCTCCATTATAGGATGTGTTGATGGATATCTGACCTGCATGGAATATGAAAGGATTCCATCCAAGATACTCACATACGAAGCATCTGATGATGATCCTGTCTATAGCGGGTACAGGGAAGCTGTTGAGGCATCAACACAGGAGGAAGCCTTGGTCAGTTATTTCTCCAAATGCATCATCTACGATTTTTTTATTGATTTTTTTAGCAAGTGTGATGTCCTGTGCTTGCAGTTAGGATTTGCTATATGGGAGCCACCGCATGGACCTTACAAGATGATGAAATATCCATGGAAGAACTACACCAAAGTTGGTGGTGCGTTGAGGCATTGCTCATTCTCTGTCATGGCATTGCATGGGTGCATACTTTCAGAGATTCAGGTTTGTGCATCTCATCCCGCAATAGATGATCCACTGAACACACGGATTTCCTTGCTAACTTTGTCTTACAAATTTTAGGCACCACCGGAGAGCAGAAAGGTTTTCTGTGCAGAGCTTCATAGAGTGGGCCAAGAAGGTGCTAAAGTGCTGCGCGAACTTGGGCAGACAGTCAAGACGATGACCAAACTGAGCTCTCCAAACATTCTTTCAGAAGTGCACTTTGCAGCTGAAGAGCTGCAAAAGAAGATTGATGAGAAGTCTTACCTTCTCGTCAATACAGAAAGATGGGAAGTCATTCCAAGGCATGCCGGAACTGCACAAACTCATGATGGTGCCAATGCTGCTGACAAGGATGAACCACCCGAGAACACCGCTGTCGATTCAATGCACATATCAAACAGCTACGCTTCAAACCCGTTCCTGAGCAGATTCGATTCTTCAAATCCGGTCCTCGGCAGATATGATTCAGGATCAATGATAGTCGGTTCATATAAGGCGCAATCATCATGGCCTGTCCGACAATCTTTCCATCCAAGCTTCCATTTGAAAGTGGGGAATCAAGAACTTACAAGAGCGCAAGCGCCTTGTCGCTGGCCACATTCGCATCGCTCCTCATTGAGTTTGTTGCCCGGCTCCAGAATCTTGTTGATGCATTTGAGGAGTTGAGTGACAAAGCTAACTTCAAGGACCCTGTGGAGGAACCTTCGACAATCAGCAGGGAGCCTCCTGGGGTTTTAGCTAGAATACATGACTTTTTCGGTTGAAGTGACGCAGATGATTAAAAAAAAAAAAAAAACCCACCCAGTATTGAATGGATGGTCAAATGTGTACAGTAGCCAACTTAGGTCGAAAATGCTCATAATATAACTAATCTACAAAAATTCCATGTAGAGGAGACAGTGTATATACATAATACAAGTGTACAACACAGTATACACATTATAGACGAGTACAACACAGAGTGGGGGATTTCGGACAGTTCCCATGGAACGATATACCATACACAACGGCAGGTTCTACTTAATAACGAATTCTAGAATACCAACGGCGTTCACAATTTAAGCTTTACACATGTATTATTGGCAGCGGGGATGCTCGTCACAGGAAGAAGGGAAAGCCCTTTTGTGATTGCGGTTTGGTGCAGTCTGAATTTGCCCATCCAATCTGCCTCCGTTGATTGTCATACACAACTAACTTGCCGCGCAGAGAAACATCTACAGAAAACAGAAAGGTTTTGGTTGAAGTTTGGCAATATCAACACATGTTCGCTATACTGCTGGGTTTATTCAATGGGTAACACTAAAATCCAAGTGTTAAAATGAAAGGATTGAAGGAAGGTCATTTATACCTCCCACTATGATAGTTGACCCATGATTAATCTCTGTCCCATTGAGAAGCCCAAGACAGACATTTCCTTTATCCTGGAAAAGGTCCACCAAGAAAAAGAACATATATACATAAATGTCACCATATGACTCAGCTTAGAAATGTTGACATATATATGATAGAAGAATAAATAGTAATCTAGGATGTGAATGCCAAAAGAAACTCACACTAATAATCAAGTAATCCTCAGGAGAAATAGTGAATGTTTTAGACATGAAAAGCCATTTCTTCCCAAAGTGAAGGTTCAAGGGCTTGAAGAACTGCTTGACATCTTCAAGATACCTGGCGAAGAAAGTAATGTTAAGGACAGGTAGTCTATCTAGTGGCATAGTTGCCTGATGAACTCCCTCTCTAAAGAGACAGTACTAATAGTTCCATTATTATTTTACCTCACAGGGAAATCAGCTTTCCAGCATAAAGGTAATGTCCGATCTGAGCTGTCTTGGACAAAGCCCGGAGACGAATATTTGATCTGTGAACAAAATAAAGTTAGCAAGCCGATTTTGAATATTCATCCCAATGAACAAGCGCTAGCAATACTCACTGCTGCAGCAAGGTTTTCATATATTTCATTTGGGAGGTACGTATAGGAGCTTCCACTGTCAAAAATTACTTGAACAGCATTTCCTGCCTGCTCACGCACCCGGAGTTGCTGATCCCCATATTTTACATGGTAGGCTTCTGTGTGATATAAGTTACTGGAAATTTGGAGAAAAGAAAAGAGAAAAGGTCATGACTAACGAGTAACGAAAGAAAATGGGATAAACTTTTCTATGATCTTTTAGGATAGTTGCAACAAAAGACAAGGCAATTCAGCCAAAATATATGATCCAAAAGGGAGATGGCAATACATGCAATTACATTTTCAAAGAAACATGATAAGACTTACTCTGGACCACTTCGGATAGAAGTCCATGTTATTCCCCATCTAGGGACATAATCATCTCCCAGAAACATATATCCTTTACCACCTTGCTCTCTAGGGAAACAATGGCCGACAATGTTGGAAATAATCCCGTGACTTGCCAGCTGACTGGGAAGGCTTATCGCCGCATTGCTAAGTCCAAGGATCCCATCGGTCTTTGCTGGTGAGGACAAAAGCTGGCCTTGCTGATCATATGCACACCTAGACCATAGACAGCAAAAGTTAAATGATCTGACATCATACTTTTCCAATACATCATACATATAAAAGAGATCAGCTTCTGAAAGGTTTGGACATACCCAAAGACAAAATCTAGTTTTTCCCTTCCACCATTGGTTGCGATCAGATGCATATCATCCCTTGCAAGGACACCCATTGAGGAGCTTTGGTCTGCGTATTCAATTTCATAGTCACACTGCTTGCAGGTTTGACAGTAGTTCTGGTTGCCTTGCAATTCTTGGCATAACAAATCTCTAAGAGGGACAATCTTTTCTTTTGTTGGCTTATATAAAGGATGTGGTCCCTGAAATTGTCACCATGTTCATCAGAGAGCCATACAATGAAAGAGCAACAATGAGGCTAATAGCGAGTAAAACTAAGATAACCATATTGTTTCTTACTAATGAGGTACCCAAAATAGCGAATGGAAATCCTAGAGTCGCTTAGGAAAAAGTTGCCATTATAAGTAGAATGGAAATTGCTGTTATTCGATTGCATACCTTTGCGCAGTTTGTACATGGTGCATCACACTGGATCCACGTCAAGTCACTTCCAGTATCAACATCAAGAAAGTATGGTCTTGGAGGGTTCCCAACAAAGATAGATGTATAATACTGGCTGCAGTTTTAATAAGATAGAATTAGCTTCAATGGAACAAGAATGAAATGTCACATATATCATCCTTTACATTGTCCACAGGCACATAAAAATGAAGAAAGGTGGATAAGATATGAATATCGATTAATACTGGATATTCTGACCTCAATAGTAGTCGGCACGCAAAAGGCCTCCTTTTATGAATACTCAACGGGTCACAAGTCATAAACACACATACAGCAAAACTAAGTCCATTCCAAAACCTATTAAATGATTGTATACAAATAAACACCCGTACAACAAGCTTAGACGAACCTAGGCCTATCAGAAGAAACATAAAGACTTGTAATTCCATGACAATCACCATACTTCAAAAACCGCATTTGGTCATATTAGTAATAAACAAATAAATATAGCAACATGTCTGCCCAATTTGGTCACATTGGGATCCAGGAAATTCCCCAAAATCTAATCCATCCAAGCTATCGTCCCTTTCAAGACTACTCTATCGACTCAAATCACAAATGAGCCGCTATTACAGTTGAAATCAGATGGAATGCCTACGCGATTGTTTGCGTACCCATCGGGGAAGACATTGCCCTTGATCGGGAGCAACGCCGTGGAATTGGTCCCGGCCGCGGCCGCCTTCGCGACCTCCATCTTGTTCCTCGCCTTCCTTCCGCCGTCATCGACCCTCCTGGCGGCGAGCTTGACGTCCCCGAACTCCCGCAGGGCGCGGCCCTGACGCGCCTTGGGGAAGAGCGGCAGCAGGAAGGACCTGGTCTCGTTCCGCTCCTTCTGCGCCTCCTCCTGCTCCATCCCCAGGAACTGCACGGCCACGTCCGAGTAGAAGCAGTAGTAGGCGGCGACCGCGAGCGCGCCCAGCACGAGCGCCGCCGCCGCCACGCGCCGCGTCGAGAGCACCCGCCTCGGGCGCCGCCTGACCCCCGTCGCCGCCGGGTACCCCATCACCGGCTCCGGGGGCGGGGCGTCGTCGGTGTAGGTGAAGGCGGTGATGGTCTTGCCCTTGGAGGGCTGGTCCGAGGGAGGGAGCGTGATGATGACCACCCCGTGGAGCTGCGGCTGCTGCTGCTCCCCCGCCGGGGGAGGAGGCGGCGCCATCTCCGGCGAGATCGCGGCGCTGCTCTCCGGGGAGGCGTGGCGGGGGGTCAGAGGATGCGGCGGGGGCGAGCCATCGGAGGAGGCGAGTGAAGAGAGGAGGGCGGAAACCGGGGGGGAAGGGGACTAGGGACGGAGAGGGTAGTGGGCCCGGGTTGGTGGTGGTGGTTTTGGAGCTCGGCGCGCGGTGATTGGCCCATTGACTTTGACGTAGTCTCGACGCAGGGCAGGGGTAGAACCGGGAGTTTCGGCAGGGCTGTTTTTGCTTGTTCAACGCTGCCGCAAGGGTATAACGTTAGCCAGTAGCCACGTGGATAAGCTAAGTGGGTTTTTATCCGGTGACTAAAGTTTAGAGGTATCTTGTAACGATGTTTTATAGGGTGTTTAATATTAATAAAAAAATAAATTACATAATCCGTTAATACTCTACGAGACGAATTTATTAAGCCTAACTAATCTGTCATTAGCATAGGTTACTATAGCACTACATTGTCGAATCATAGACTAATTAGGCTTAAAAGATTTTGTCTCGTAAATTAGTCACAAGCTGTGCAATTAGTTTTGTAATTAGTCTATATTTAATACTCTATGCATGTGTCCAAGCATCCGATGGAATAGCGACTAAAGTTTAGGAGGAGAAACCAGACACCCCCTTACGCTTGAAAACAACCTTTGGCGGAAATTCCATGGAGCAATGATAGATGTGGGAGTATGACCCCGGATACCAACAACAGACCATATGGGTTGCGCCCCCAGGGGTGCCCCAGCCCACAAGACGAGCCTTACGGGGCATGGCGCTGCTCGGCGCGACCCTCAAGACACCGGAAAGATATCCTGAAGATACTACGAAATCCGTTAGGATACGTATGATCCTATGATTCCTGTAATCTGCTATTACTTTTCGGCTATCTCCTAAATCTAACTAACTTGTAACTCTATCCCCTGGACTATATAAGGCGGGCAGGGACCCCCTCAAAACACACGCAATATCATATGATAGCCAATACAATTCAACAGACCACAGGAGTACGGTATTACGTCGTGCTGACGGCCCAAACTTGTCTAACTCTTGTGTCTCTGTTGTCTTCTTGTTCTCGATTACACGCATATCTGCCGATCAATCGACCTTCGTGGGATACCCTTTGGAGGACTGCCGACGATATTCTGTTGACAATAGTATAATACGATTATGGCCTTGTTTAAACTAGGGTAGTTTTGGGTGTCACATCGGATGCCATATAAGAGTGTCGTATGTAGTATTCGGATACTAATAAAAAATAAATTACAGAATCCGTTAGTAATCCGCGAGACGAATTTATTAAGCCTGATTAATCCGTCATTAGCACATATGTTAATGTAACACCACATTGTCAAATAGATTTATTAAGCCTATATAAGATAGCACAGAGATTGAAATGGCCTATTATATTTTCTTTATTTTTTCAATAGATTTATATAAGAATGTACCATAGTCCTCCTCAGCGAAACCAAAATTGTTAGCTCACCTCATCACCCTTTTCTACGCACAAGTTGCACATGCCCATCTGTCAATCTCAAACAAAGCATGAAAAAGCCTATTCTATCTTTTTGAACTATTATCGTAGTTTATTTTTCCATCTTGAACTTAAAATCAGACGTCTTATCCCTGGAACTTCCAAAAACGTTCAAATTACCACCTTGCCTTTGATTTAAAGTGGTTTTGAAGGCACTTTTGTCCTTTGAAGTTAAACTTTTTGGTAAATAGTTTATAAGGATCTTTAAATCACATTAAAAATTAGAGATAGATCAGGGTATTAAAAATCCAAAAAAAAATATTTAGAGCTTATGAAAACATCTTTAAACATTCAAAAAATAGGTTTAGCTCTAGTAAAATTGAAAAAAATCTACTAAAAACTCCTAAAGCATTTTAATCAATGTATAAACATGTTTTAAAAACTATGCATGATAAAAATATGAGATGCAACCATCTCGAGTGCAACATACATTAATGTTGAATGCAATCATGCTAGTTGCATATTATGTTTTTTCATGAAAAGTTTCTAAACAAGTTTACATATTAATTAAAATGTTTATAATTTTATAGTTCTTTTTGGTTATTTTTCATTTTCCTAGAGCTAAATCTATTTTTTAAAACATACAGGTCTATTTTTATGAACTCTAAATATTTTTTTGGATTTTCTTTTATCCTAGTGTATCTCTAGAAATTTTTTTTATAATTTTTAGAGCCTGGATACAATTTTTGTGGTTTAAAAACCTTATCAAATATTTACTTATTTTTTAACTAAAAATGACAAAACCATAAACTAGGACAGGAGAGTTCACGGGGGAAGATTCTGATTTTAAAGTTCAAGGAGAAAAATCAGATAATTGAGAGAGGTAGTGTCGGGTTCATAAACCCAGGGTCCCTCGGGGACTGGCTTTTACGCTAGGGCTCGGCCCAGGAAAACAGCATGCAGTCCATGGGCCGGCCCAAAAGTCTAGAAAACAACAGTGCCGGCCCGCTCATCAACTTCTTCGGCCCACCTCTCCGACCAAAGCGCTCGCTTCGGGCACCGGCCGCCTCCAGGCGGTCCCTCCAATCGGAAGGCCTGGCCTGAAACACTACTTCCTACTCCGACCCCGCGACTCCGACCGGGGGCCCGTAGGAAGCCTGCGTACCGCTCTTCTCCGACTGGCGCGGCCTGGGCCGACTGGAGCCATCCAACCGGGGACGCCCGCTCAGAAGGAACCAGGGGCGAACGGAGAAGACAGCACACTAAGTCAAATCATGATACTGGGACCATACCCTGTACACCTGCAGAAACAGTGCTCCACGACCGCCCTGATACAAGCAGTATTGTAGGCGCCGACATTTGTGTCTACAGTATTGTGGGCGCCGTTAGGCTCCCATACGGCAAAAGGCCCCCATGCCTCTGGGCATCGATAAGGGGCGCCAGGATCCACCATACCTGGTACACATAGTGGGGCTCCTCACATATCAACAGTATTTTGCAGGTACCGATGTCCACCCTTCCTGAAGAAGCCACCGCAACCTCCCACGTGCACCTGACATTCTATAGTGACATCAACACTGTTGTAGGCGCCTACCATTATCCACTCCTCATCGGCGTGGGCAACAAGATTTCGTAACATCGTACTCTCTCCCTCTCACCTGTAAAGCCATCCCCTTCTTCTATAAAAGGGGATGCGCTCCCTCCAAATAGAGGATGGATTCTTCTTCAAGCTTAGATTCACTAGATCGATAACTCATAACCCCCTAAGCACACGCTTGCACACCTAGCTCATAGCGGAGTTCCGGTCGCCCTCGGCCCTTCCGGTTGGACCCGATCGGGCCTCTCGTACACCCCTCATTTCTCCTTCTTGTTTATAACCCCACTACAAACTTCAAGCACCTGGGCTCAGGAATAAAGTCACCGACTGACCCAGACTGGACGTAGGCCACGTTGCCTGAACCAGTATATATCCTGCGTCATTGAGTGCTAGGCCACCTCCGATCACAAAGTACAGTAAAACTACAAATATTCACTAGTTGGTCACTTTCTGTACCGACAGTTGGCGCCGTCCATGGGGAAGACACTGTACGTTCAACGCTTTTTGGTCATCGGATGGCCCATTTTTCCGCCACCCCCACCGTGGCGGGCTCGGGCGATACGATTCGCCTCGGCTCACTGGAGTATCCCGCACTCTCGCCTGCGGGGATGCAGGTTCCACTCGTTTTCGAGCCATCCCAGGCCTTCCTCTTCGGAAGCCTAGACTTCGTCGCCGACCGACTCGGCGTGCTCCACCTCCGCGAGGAGACTCGCGACCCGACACCCGTTGGAGAGACATTCTCCATCGACTCCGGGACGCGCGATCTCAACGGCGCGGCATCTGTGCTTCATTCTGAGCAAACTCTCTGCTCAAACCCCGCTGTGAGTAATATACATGTCGTCCTTTACTTACTACATTCTATCTTCCGCCAAACACCGGAGGGCTACTGTTGTCCCTGTCGCGGCCACCGTACGGCCGATTCCCCTACGGCCTCGTGTCTCCCGTGGACGCATACTCCCGGGGGCTCCAAAAGGTTATGTCACCGCATCCTCTCACGTCTGAGTTCATGGGAATGGCGAACTACGGCCCCACCTGTTTCCTCGACATCATGGACGACGACGTCGGGAGTGACGGCTCCAGCATCGGCGACGTGGCACCCAGCCACCGTCCGTCCCGGGAGTACGTTATGACGGACGCTCCGGAACAGCCGTCAGGGGCAACGGAGTCCTCACGGACTCACGCCCCTCTGGGTCCTCATACAGAGACCTCCGAGCTCACACGTGAGCACGAGGAGGAACTACGATGACAGTGGCCCCATCAGCCACCAACTACGCCAGTGTGCTCGATGCGCTACACTGCGCCTCGTGCGCGTGGATCGGCGAACGATGCTCGGGGTCACGCCCGTCAGGTCCGCCCGGATAGAGGGACCGATCCCCCACAGTTCGCTCGGGCTAGTCAGAACATTGCCACCACCGCAATGCTCCTACGCGGCCTGTCCGAGCCGAACGACCCTCGCGAACGGGCGATCCACCGGAACCTCCGGGCATTGGTGGAGACCGCCGCCGTTCAACAAGCGGAAAGCTCCATGTCGCGACGCCGACTCGCGACCTCGCTCCCCATCCGGGCAACAGGGACACAGCAGATGGGGCACTACCCCCTGTCACCACAACAACCGCTGAGCGCGACACATGAGGCCGCAGCGGCACCCCATCTTGACCTGACGACCGCTCCACACCAACCGCCTATCTACGCGCGGCTTGAACCGAGCCGAGGCACATGCAGTGGCGACCGGAGTCCCGGCACTGACGGCTCGGGACCACCGACCTTTGCCTAACTCCCCCAGCAAGCGCCGTTCTTACCACGCTCCAACGGAGGCCACGGCAAAGGTAAGGCCAAGCGCCAAGATCAAGACGAGGGCCCCTCCACGCTGAGGGGAAAAAAGAACATAAAGGATCGTCATCGACCGGCTAACGTCGTGTCGGTCGCCGCGGCCGATCACCTGGGCACGTAGCCCCAGCAGGACCAATCGGGGCACTTCCGCGAGCTCATGGAGAGCCCGTGCACCAACCACAACTACCCCGTCAACCATCTCTACAAGGACTGCCAGCTCCTCAAGCGCCTGCTGAGGTAGATTGGTAGGCCAAGGAATGAAAAAGGCAAAGAAGCAGCAACAGAAGAAGGGGGCACACCGTGCGAGGATCCAGACGACTGAAGCCTGAATTGATCCGACCGGACGCCTACCAACTGAAAGACAACGACGACGACGTTCTCTCCGAACGCTTGGAACAGCTATGTCGTTTTTTCCCTTTCCCTAAGTTTCAGTCTTACCATTATTCACTAAACGTACGCTCCTGTAAGCGCACCCTGACCCGAACACTTTTCGGCTCGGGGCGCTCGGGGGGCTCCACTAGGGGGCTCTACCACCCCTCTGTTTTGTTTTTGCTTTAAGTACTCTTTTACTTTCATATGGAAAAAACTCCTTCCTACCCGAACAAAAGAGCATTTCGTTCTTTAATTTACCTTATGTAGCTTTGCTTTAAAACTTTTCGACCGATCGCACCCCGCTTATTCCTACGATTACGGCCAGCCGAGCCTCGTGGGCCACGCCTCGGGCTCACAAGGTTGTAGCCTACAGAACAAACGGGCAGGTACGAGAAAGAAAGAATTAAGAAACAAAATTATGCTAAGGGAAAACTAAGGAATGAAAGGGAACAAGCTTCCCCGAACGAAGCAACTCCATCACAAAAACAAAAAACCAATTGTAGACACTAAAATACCCACGAACATCTTACACGGGGGCTCCCCCACAAACTTAAAACTTTTTACGTTTACTAACTACTTATATTCTGCAAGCTGTTCAACCGACCCGGCGGCATCTGCTGGCGGCGCGACCGACGAAGGCGTAGGCTACTCACCCCCCGCCGGCACGACGTTCGGTTCGACCGAGGCCGAGGCGACATTTCCCTCAGAACTAGGCTCCGGGCTATCCGCAGGTTCGGAAGCATTCTCTCCACGCATGCTTTGGGCCATGTCTTGACGGCGAACGTCCATCACCCACTCGGCGGAGACTTGCTCTGACACCGACCGCGCGTGTGGCAGCAAGCTCACCCCGATTGACCGGATGTCCTCCATGCTTAGACCTTCAGCATACCCACTGCAGATGGCGCCGAAATCCAAGTTCGGGTGGTGCGTCGCCACCGAGGTCAGCACCCCCGACGCTCCATAAAACAGCCCACTCCTGACAAGGTCCTTGACCGTGTCTGGGACCTCCGCCAGCTGGACCATGGGCGCACTGGTACATGGCGCCGACCCGAAGATTTCCGAGACGACGAGCCGGGCAACGTTGCGGATCTGGTCGAGATCCCCTTCGAGAGCACGTCGCTCTTCACGGGACTTGGCTAGCTCCTCGGCGTTCTGGCTGGAGCTCGCCTTGGACGTCTTCAGGTCTCGCTCCAGCGCCTTCACCTTTTCAGCCAGCTCTGGAGGAAGGGCGACAAACTCAGAAACATGCTGAGGGAAAAGGTACGCACTATCTGGAGGAAGGGCGACAAGCTCTGGTGGGCCTAATCAAGCATTTCGACCACACTATCAGGCTAGATGACTGTTTAATGTACAGAACTTACAGCTGTAGATTAGAGATAAGCACGAGAGCGAGGAATTGCTGGGGAAATGTCGAACTGCCTGGTCTGATTGTAGTTCAGTGCCCTTGTCTTGCGCGAATTGCTAGAGAGTACTCCCAGCAAAAATATGTAAATGCAGCTAAAGTGTACGATTACTAACATATACTTAATTAAGTCATTCTCAGGTACAGCCTTGTTCCTGCTCATAAGTTTGAATATATATTTAATATTTATGATGGATTTTTATTAACAAGTGATAATCTTCCTCCAAAGAAATTTATTACAATTGTTCAGAAAGAGCGATCGGTTCAGGTTCATATGCAGCTGATGTCAAATTATGTTTCAAATCCTCCAACATCTGATAAATACCCTCGCTTTCCATATGCAACTTGTCTGCAGTGACAAAGGAATGTACACTTCCATCTTCCTCTATCCAGCTGAGCCCAGGTTTCTTGGTTACCCCATGCTCCTCCATCCTCCACCGCGTCCTCTTCAAGTCCTCCCATTGTTTCGCTCGTGCATATGTATTCGATAGCAGCACATACGAGCTGCCATGACTTGGTTTTGCGTCTGCCAACTTTGACGCAGTGAGCTCTGCCATCTCGACATCGCCATGGCTACGGCAGGCTGCTAGTAGCGAGCTCCAGATTACAAAACCAGGATCTTCAGGTAGATTGCTGGCATGATTGAAGGCCTCCTTCAAGAACCCAGCACGGCCAAGGAGATCAACCAAGCAGCCATAGTGCTGGATCATTGGCCTGATGCCCATGCTCCTCATTAGGTCGAAGTACTTGAAACCTTCACTGACAAGCCCACCATGGCTGCAGGCGTTCAAGATGGCTACAAAGGTGACACCACTAGGCTCAATGCCCACCCGCCTCATCTCGATGAACAACCTCAATGCTTTCTCTGGTTGACCATGTGCTGCGAAACCCGCGATCAAAGAGGTCCAATGCTCCACATTCTTGGTGGTGACACTCAAGAAGCAACTGTGTGCAGCACCCATGCTCCCGCACCTCGTGTACATACTGATTAGTGCAACCCCAAGAGCACCGTCAAGTGAGAACTCCCGACGGAGAACATACCCATGTGCACTCTTCCCAATTCCAAGTAGACCAATGTCCCGAACAGCCAATATGAAGCCAACCATCGTGGCCTCATCTGGCGCCAACCCATAAGCCACAGTCATCTCGACAAACAAGTCCACTGCCTCCTGCGCCCACCCATTCCTTGCAAAACCAGCGATTATGGTGTTCCAAGAAACCACATTGCGCTGTGGCATTTCCACAAATACCTCCCATGCAGCGTCCAAGTCGCCATCTCTGACAAGCGCGTCAAGCAGGACGTTCCAGGTGACCACCGTCCGGTCCGGCATTCCATCGAACACCTTCCGCGCGTCGCACACGCGGCCGAGCCACGAGTAGGGTCAAACCAGGGAGGTGGACGCTTGGACATCGGAGACAGTCCGCGGGACACCGGACTTGACGAGGAGCGCGTGGATCTGCTCGGCCTCGACCACGGCGGCGGGCAGCCGCGCGCAGGCCGCGAGCGCGGGTATCAGCGCCGGATTAGCGTGGAGGGCTCGGCCGGCGCGGTGGTGCGCGCGGAAGGCGCAGAGCGAGGCGTCGCCCGAGGGCGCGGCGGCGTTGGTGGCGGCCTTGGAGGGTCGGGGACATGGCGGGAAACCTGAGGTCGAGGGCGAGAGCATCGACAGCGCCAAATTGTTCATGGAAGCGTGCTCATGCACCCCATCCCCATCCCATCGAGAAATTTCATTATTTAACTCTGAATTCGCAAGCCTCTTAGAATTTAACATTAAATTCACAAGCCTTTCAATATTTAACCCTGCACACATAAATTATTTCAATAAGAGGGATTCTTTTCTTCTCCTCTCCTTTCTTAATTTCAATAAATCTTGGGTACTGTTTGGGACACGGGAAAAGACCTTTATGTCCCTCTCTACACAAAAGAAGTCTGGGAGAAGATCTGGCTCTTGGCCTGTGCGTGCTCGTGCTCTGTCCATACAGGCCCTCCCCAACTCCTCTGTCAGTACAGACCCCCCAACAGCTACACAGATGTGTTGTCAAAGAAAAAACAGCTACACACATGTAACATATATTTGATAAAAATTAATGTAAACAAAGTACAAATTATAATCAAATTTTAAGATAGAAAAAATAACATTAATATAATTTAACAAGTTCACTGACAATAGCCATCCATACATTTTAGTAAATAGGTTCAAGTCAATACAACCATACAAGCAATTTAAAGAGTACAAGTTCACTACAATCATCCAGCCAATTTAAGATTACAGGTTCACAAAGACAAAGGGAACTCATCCAACCAATTTAAGATCACAAGTTCAAATAGACAAAAGAAACATCCTGATGGCTGGGCATTACAAAAGAATCATCCTGATGGCTGGGCATTACAAAAGCCATTCAAACATCAACCTTCTTTGCCTTCTTTAGAGTGAGTTTTTTCTTCAGACCTAGCCTCCTCCTTGAGTGGTTATAGCATTACTTGCTCCTTCTCCAGCTTGACTGAATACAATAGGAAAATTGAGTGGTTCAGTACATGAACTAAAATAACCACATACATGTTTAATAAAGTGAATAGTATTCCAAGTTCTAACTCAATGTTGAGTGCATAGAAATTCACCTTCTTGTAACAGCTCCGGGACTAGTGCTAATTTGACTTGTGCCTTCTGGTACTTCCACAAGTCCAGGACTATTATTCCCTGAATTTTCTTGCACTTGAACCTTCTGCCTTTTGGATGAACTAGGAGATGCATCACCTTTGCTACAACTAAGAGGCCTACCTGCCTTTCCTTTCTTGGTCCGACTCTTCCTGTAAATGTAAAATGGTTAGTTCAAAATATGAAGCAAGTACAAGTTAGTTCGAAAAAGGCATACACATTTACCTCTTCTTTGTTCCATTGAGAGGGCACTTAGGGGATGTTGATCTATGGCCATGACCTAAGCATTGTTTACACTGCACCTGCCACATGCCTTTGCCTCTGGGCTTATTTCCCTTGTTCTCAAGGTAGCTAGGGGTTCTCAGTTTTTTTTGTCTTCCAGGATCCCTCTTTGTGAGTGGTGGCAACACTTTGAATCCAGGATTCACACGTACCCATTGGGACTTATCAGGTAGTGGTTTGATCACACCACCATAGGCTAGTCTAAAATGGTACACGGAGTAGTATGGATCAAGGTAATCTTCCATCTTAGGATTTCTATGTGTGGTGATTAGAAGCAAAGCATGTGCACAAGGTTTCCCTGAGACTTGCCACTCCCTACAGGTACATGTGTGATTCTGAATATTAACCACATGTCTTATGATCTTATGGGAATCTGTGACCTCTGTCACCTCTGCTTCATCCCATCCACCTTCTTTTATTTTCAAGTGACCCAACTACCGACTCATTGCATATAGTTGGCGAACAACTATTGGCAGCATTACATGTCCTTCAAATTTCTCACCAATTCTCCTCCTTGCATAAAGCTCCATGAACTTTGACCTAAGAGTGTTAGCAAGTTCAGCTATGGGAAGGTCCTTGATGTCCTTCACCCAATTGTTCCAAACCTCAGCCACATTATTAGTGATATGATCACACTTTATTGCCTCTGAAAATTTGCTCCTCATCCACTTCAACTTGTGATTGGCTTTCAACCATGGCTCAACATTTTTATTTACAGCATACATCTTGTTCATCAAGTACTCATGGTATTCTGGTTGGAAAGTCCTTGCTGCAGGATACATTCTCCCAAATGTAGGTCCTTGAAACCTCTTATTGAAATTTTTCATGAGATGGACAAAACATTCTCTATGCTCTGCCCAAGGGTATACATTCTTCACTGCATTCTCTAGACCCTTGCAAGCATCTGAACTTATAGCTAGGTGCGGTGGATTCCCAATTGCCTTTTGCAGCTGCTGCATAAACCAAGTCCAATTATCAGTACTCTCACCATCAAAAAACCCAAATGCAACTGGAAACATCCAGTTGTGCCCATCAAGTGCTGTAGCTGATGGTAAGTGGCCACTCCATCTACCATTGAGAGCTGTGGAGTCAATACTTAAAAATGGCCGACAACCATTTAGGAAACCATCAATGCTTGGTTTCAAACAACAAAAAAATATGTGGAAAAATACACCTTCCTCCTTATTCACGACATCTATCTCCACAATACTTCCTGGCATCCTGAGCTCAATCTCTGCCTTGAATTGAACAAATAACCAAAACTTTCTTCCCATGTCCCATGAATTTTTTCTCCAGCTATAGCAAAACCCATATGCACAGTACCATACCCAATTGTGATATCATATTTGTCCTCCAGCTCTTCTTGCAATTTTTTTGCACCCATGGTTGGATGCTTCATTAGTATGGGGATTGCCTTCTCTGCTACCCAATGGTATGATGCCATCTTGGTCTTCAGTCTCGCAGTAGATGGACAAAAATGATGTTCCTTATTCAATGTAATCTGTGAAATAGAAACAAATATGTTAGTAATGCAACACACATGCATGAGGACTAATAATGCATAATAAATTAAGTTAGCATACTGCATATAAGTGTTAGTACCCTGACTTGGATTTTATTAGGCATCAACCTTGCTACAATAGACCATGGACAACCCTCAGCTTTGCAGTACCCTCTGAACAAATCTTTGCAAGATTTCTCAGTTCCAAGTTGAAATTTCCCATTTATAGCATGCTGCTTTACTGCAGCCCCGAATTCATTCATACTAGCATATATGGTTCCAGCTTCCATTGGAGGGTCTTCTCTGTCATATAAAGCAGAATCCTCACCGGGTACACGATCATGAACCAACATGTCGGTATCTTGTAGGTCCATATCATCAAGATTAATTGTGGCCGCCATCCTAGATTGCTCAGCCCTCTCATCCTCTGCCCTGAGGCCAACAAACTCATACATCGCATCTTCATCCATCACAGGAAGTGCGGCACCAATTTGATCTTGTCCAAGAGGAATAATCTCCATACTGTCCCAGTCGATTGCATGAGAAACAAATGCCTCCTTACTTGAATCTATTGGTCCAATGACATTATCATGCCCCACATTGCTTGCTGCTACCTCTGTTACAACTTCTGTAGGTTTGTCCTCAACATCAACAAACAAGAACAGCTTACTGTCACCCATCCTTTCAGAAAATGCACGGAACAGATCTGTGTCATTCAACAACTTCCTTTCTCCACCACTCATGTCAAACTCATGTACTACAGGCTGCTGGCTGCTTCCCCAATTGACCCTAGCTTTCAAGTCATTTTTTAGCATCTCCAAATTATAAGATCGGCAATCCACAACCCATTCATCAGATTTTCATGGCACATCCACAGAGCAACCATCATCGAGCTTAGCAGTGAACTCAGAAAACTGAACACACAACCTAAATGGGCCATCCCGATCGGCTCTACCATGTGTACCAACAAAAAAATAAATGAGACATAAAATCAATTTTGTGCCCCTCACCAAGATCAACAGTACTGTAAATTTGAGAAACTGAGAAGGGGGATTTAGGATCGGGCGCTTACTCTGGAGGAGCCATGGAGACGGAGGGGAGGACAACCTGCTGGCGTCGGGCTAGCAAAGAGACCGCCGGCGGGGAGCCCGGCCGCCCCTAACCCTAGGCCGTCGGGCCAGGGAAGGGCGGCACACGGACGGGGCCGGGAGGGCGGAGGGGCCTGTGAAGCGGGGGAGATCAAGCCGGATAGACGGTCGCAGGCGTTCTCCGGCGGCGGGCGGCCACCGGCATCGGGCGGCGGCGTCTGCGAGCGACGCTTCTTCGTCTCGCGAGGAGCGACGGAGAAAGAACGAAGCCTCTCCCAAAGTTACGTACGAGTACAGCTTCAGGATAGGAATAAGGAGGCAGGGGTAGTTAGGTCATTTTCCATGTCCTGTAAAGTGCCAAAAGATATTAGAAAATAGAAAATTAATAAAAATCCTAGGAATCCCTTGGATTAAAACAATTCGCGTGCACAGGGTTAAATATTGAAAGGCTTGTGAATTCGATGTCAAATTCTGAGAGGCTTACGAATTCAAGGTTAAATAATGAAATTTCTCCATCCCATCACTGCAACCTGGACAAGGATAACATGTCCTCTGGCTCTCTATTTTCTTTTTGTTCCAACAGTATCATACATGCGCATAGCCAAAATATATAATTTTTTTAACTTACCTTATGTTTGCTACGTAACCTGTTTGCATTGGATCTATTAACAACTAATATTTAACTGACTAATAGTTCAGTGCTTATTAACTCGGTGATATTTGGATCTACTTATAAAAAAAGATGCATCGGTGGTTTTATATATAATGTTCTCCCTTTCCTATTTGCTACTGCTAGGCTATGTGAATAGGGGTACGTGGGAGTATTAGCTAAGTTTGAATAGCTAGTGAGATAGTTGTTGGCTAGGTACTTAACTAACAATTAACCGATTTATTAGTTAGATGAATTTAAAGGGGACCATGGTTAAGTCTTGTTTGATGTAGCTGCACCAACAACTTTATGAGTTTTTGAGAGCTATTTTTTTTTTGCTAAACATTTTTTTTCAAAACAGCTCATTGCTGAAGCTCTTTTTTTATGCTTTCATAAAGGAAAGGAGAGAGGTGAAGTTGAAAGAAAAGTAGCTTTTCACAACTCTCTCCCTCGTTTCCCTCTCTCAGCCATACATGAAGCTATTGGTGAAGCTGTTTTGCCAAATAGTTTTTCCAAAACAGCTATGCCTCTCTCCCTCTCCTCGTTCTCTCACATCTCTGGCAATCCTCTGCCATTACCCCTTTTTCCTGACGGCGCATAGACCAGTTCGGCCCGAGATGCAGCGCATGGCCGGTCGCTAGCGCATGGCCGCTCCATCTCCAAGCGCTGCGCCGTGGCAGCCATAGCCTAGTGCAGCACCTCCCCAGACCTGGCAGCCACTGGTTATTGCCTCGCCACAGTGCGGCAAGTCTGCCACGACCACCGATGTGGCTACAAGTGAGCTCTAGTCGAGCCTGCCTTGAGCTTGATCCCAACGCATGTGTGCAGCCGTCGGCGTGTTGTGGCCCGCCTCAGAGATGGAGGGGACTACTAGGGCCTTCAAGATGTTTGAGGAAGAAAATATCCAAACATGAATTGAAACTGGGGACTACGTTTTGATTCCAACTACCAATGATATACACATCCAAACAACAACATTTGCATTACAACCATTTCCCTTTCCACTCATATTTGGCATTCTACCCCATTGCAATTCCTCCACCTAAATATCTACATCCAAACAGAGCTTCACCCAATTCCACACCACAACACAAGCACAAGCCAACCACCCGCCCAATAGTCTTCTCTCTTCTAGGCAATGTCTTGATCCAGTTGATCTTGATTTGATGCTCTCGCTTTGTTCTTCTGTCTCCTCTCCTGTCCTGGTTTGCTGAATAGAGCCAAACCATGGGTAAGTCTAAAGAGGACGTGTTCGGCGCCGCATTGGATAGTGGTGGCTAGCGAGTAGTACCCATTGGTCACTGTCCGGTTGCACGTAAAATTGAAATACTCTACAATTCCTATTATATCTTTGTTTGCATTGTCATTATATCACCAAAACTCATGATAGGATTAGATGCACTTTCAATTTCATTATTGGACATTTTTGGTTGTCAACAGGTTGTAAAGCCATTTGTGGGTTTAGATAAGTGAAGAACAAGAGATAAATTTAAGTGCACATCTTGCTAATTAATTGTTTTATTAGTTTGTCCAGTATAGTTCAAGTTGTCATATATTAAGTTTTTAATGACCCAATTCAACCCCTTCCCCTCTTGTGCCAGCATCAATTTTCTTTAACAACCTCTTGGTGGGTATGAGAGACTATGGCGAGAGGGAGAGCGGCGTCAGACTAGAAGAGAGGAATTGTTGCAACAACACACTCCTCCATATGCAGGCATCAAAAGGGAGATAAGGTTGCGTGTAAAGTGAAGGGTAATACTAGAAGGAATGAAGAGGAGGCTTGACACGAGAAGGTCGTAAATGTCATATAGCAAAACTAACCTTTGGTTTCCACTCGAGAAGATATCCAATTTATTGATTAAGCGTCCGTTGGACTTTTGAGAGATGTCACAGCGAGGCCATCTCAACCAAAACTTATATATTGTTTCCTTCAACACAATATTATTTACACACGGACAAAAGAACAGTAAATCTAAGAAAATAAGAATTACTAATAATGAGAAGACCACGTATAATGTTGTCCGTTCACACGTACCATATGCCACGATCCAATCTACTACAGCAGCATAGAAACTTTCACATTAGTAGTACTATTGATTATTGGCAAAAGCACCCTCACTATCAGCCTGTTCGGTTGGCTGGTTCGTTTCATTGCTGGTTTGTAAAAAAGTACTGCTGGCTGGTCTATATGAGAGAAAAATACTATTCTAGTTAGAAATTTACGATTATTTACGATAAGTCATAGCCGAACAGGCTCGATATATGTTCTTGTTCTAAGCAAGCAGCATGCGGAGACTAGTACTTTTGAAGTGGTGAGATGGGATCCAGTCAGCCAGAGTATAACAAAGAGAATAAAGTAGCCTCTCCACGCAGCTGCACACTCCTCGTTCGCGGTTGGCTCGCTAAGCATCCCAAGGCCTTTCTCGACAGGTGTTGTCTCATCATACGGCAATGATTGACACATATCCGGCCACTTTGGTACAGGAAAAATGGAAAATACGCGAGCCACTTTTCGTTCCAGCCCAAAAGTGACCTCTCTCTCTCTCTCTCTCTGTGCTTTCCTCAAAGGCGCGAAGTACTAGCGGTTTGAACCTCGGAACTGGGAAGGCCCCCTTTGCTGATCCGTGCACGATCGATCGATTGGCGCGATCGAGAAGGAAACCGCAGCTCCATTGGTCCGTTTGGCCGTGCATGGACCATCGTACCACGTGGTCTGGGCGACCAACCAGGCGCAGCTCCGGAGCACCACGACGAGGGCAAATCTCTCCCTTCAGTTTCCAAGCGATCTCCCCCTGCAGGTGCCAACTCATCACGCATGATGCAAGTAACATGCACTGATGCACGCCGCATGATGCAAGTAACATGCACTGATGCACGCTGCCCTCCCGGCCGGCCCGTCGATGGAGTAGACAAGTAGTAGTAATTAGCTAGTGCTAATGCCAAGCATCGATAATTCGATACCATGCATCGATCTACCAGTCTACCATCGTTGAAAGGAGTAGAGTATAACTCTCTACTAATTCTAATGAAGAAGTAAGCATCACACTCTTACATTCGAGCACACAAAAGATGTTATTCGAAAAATAAGATACTTTGCTGAAGGTTGTTGATGGTCCACACATCAATCCTTGCATAAAATAGTATAATGCTAGTTGCTACGTTGGTGTTATTCCCAATATATTCTCCGTTTCTTCTACCAAGTTTTTGTTGATATATAACGTGCTATTCTAGAAGGGTTGCAGTTAGCGATGAACACAATAGGAATCCTTTTTTAAAATTTTGTCCATGAAATGGAAGAGGAAGAGGAAGAGGAAGAGGAAGAGAAAGACAAACTTGGGATACACTAAGGGTCATGACCGTACAAACGATAATAATAAAGTAATAAACCACCGAGATGGGCCATCGATGGTCCAATGCACATATTATATATAGCTGACCTAGGTTTGATTACCAGGTCCGCCCACAGGTTTTGTCACCTTTCTAAGAATCGATTCCTCAAAATAACTAGAAGACAAAAAGGCTAAGAAACTGGTGATTTGGTTAAATCTAACTTAATTATTATTAGCCGAGATATATGTGAAAGATTTCACACACCTTGAGATATGTTCTTTCAATTCAAAGCATCGCATTGCCAAGGCTGCAAACATATAGTGCAATTATTGAACAAAGAATATGTTGTACTAAGAGGATATTGCTGCGTAGTTGAGATGATGCGTGATGATACTTTTCTTCGTACGTCATTTATGTTTCCCTCTCACCGATCATGCATATCTTAAACATCTATTGGCAACTTGTACTGCAAATGGGAAGAAAACAGGGCAGGATGCCATATATCAATGATGTGCGTAGAATACTAGAATTAGCGTAGCACGCAGTGTACCACTATTATAAACTTACAAATTAACAAAACCTTTGAGAGATATGAAAGTGGGTGGCTTTGTCATTGTACGAGGTAAAGATGGTTGATAGGATGTCGACATCTCCCATATATAAACTATATATACTAATCAGAATATATCAAAGCCCTCTCAAGCTGCCAAAGGAGACATAGCTCTACGTGCTAGTAGTACTTGTACAA